CCACTGGGAGCTGAGCTGGGCCCCACCAGGAGGGAGCTGAGGAGCTGCAGAGTCACCTTCCTCCACGCACGTTTCTCCCGTAGGTTCCCAAAGGTTGCAGGGAGGCAGGTTCACTGCACGTGGCATTTCCCTCTAAAAATAGACTTTGTGCAATTCCCATGGAAGGGGAAAGCAATTACACCTCTGCTATGGGAAAAATATTCACTCCCTTTCCACGGGCTGACTTCAGAGCCTCTTTGTGGCTAATTACCATCGTTTTTCTGCTGAGGTTGCTGACATGGAGGTGAAGTGACCTCCCCAAGCTTCTCCAGACTTGGATCCAACCCAGTGTTTAAGGTCAGGACAGCCCCACCTTCTGATCTCCAGACAGGGTTCAGGTCTTCTCCCTTCCAGCTATGGAAAGTGATTTTCTTTCATCACTCCATGTTGCAAGTTGTGGTTGGAAATTAGAAACCTCAATATTCCAGAAGCCTCATTGCTTGATGAAATAAAAGCAGTGTCTCAACACAGAGCCCTGGCTGGGCAGCCTGGGACACTCTTGGCCTCAACACTTCTCCCCAAGTGCTACGTGCCCCGTTGCTCTCAGGTGCTCTAATTGATGGACACAAGGAAGGTTGCTGAAGCTCTGACCTGAAGATGTGTATCCACTGCACCCAGCTGCTCTGTCCTCTTCAGGCCAACAAGTACCATGATAAATTCCCACTGAAAATTAGCCTGAGACTGTTCCCTCTATGGCCCTGCTTGGGAGGGCTGTATCCCAGGGGCACATCATAGAATCATGGAATGGTTTGGGTTTTAAGGACCTTCAAGATCATCCAGATCCAACCCCCCTGCATGGGCAGGGACACCTCCCAGCAGCCCAGGCTGCTCCAAGCCCCATCCAACCTGCCCTTCAACACCCCCAGGGATGGGGCAGCCACAGCTTCCCTGGCCAACCTGGCCCAGGCTCTCCCCACCCTCACACTCCACAATTCCCTCCTCAGCTCCAACCTCCAGCTCCCTCTCCCACTTTTCATCCCTCCCCCTCATCCCATCCCTCCCTGCCCTTGGCCCAAGTCCCTCCCCAGCTTTCCTGGAGCCCCTTCAGGCCCTGGAAGCTGCTCTAAGGTCTCCCTGGAGCCTTCTCCTCTCCAGGCTCAACACCCCAACTCTCCCAGCCTGGCTCCAGAGCAGAGCTGCTCCAGCTCTTGGATCATCTCTGTGGCCTCCTCTGAACTCTCTCCAGAAATGTCCACATATCTCAGCAGAATGGTTATATTGATAACCAGGAAGCATGGAGCTACCTAGAAAGCAGCCAGGCAGGTTCTCCACTGCTGGAAAGTGTCCTAGTTCCTGCCTTCAACAGAGCCACGAGTGCAATTTGTACCCACAGAGCAGCAAGTGAAGGCTGAGTCAGGGCCAGGTCTTGGCCTGGGATCTTGGATCTGAAGGAGGCCAACAAGAAAGCTGGGGAGGGACTTTTGACAAGGACTTGTTGTGAGAGAACAAGGGAAATGGATTAAAACTTCAAGAGGGGAGATTTACTTTAGACATTAGGAGGAAATTCTTCACTGTGAGGGTGGTGAGACCCTGGGGCAGGTTGCCCAGAGCAGCTGGGGCTGCCCCATCCCTGGGGGTGTCCAAGGGCAGGTTGGATTGAGCTCTGAGCAACTTGATCTTGTGGGAGGTGTCCCTGCCCATGGTGGGGTTGGATCTAGATGATCTTGAAGGTCTCTTTCAATCCAAACCATTCTATGATTTCCCTTACTAGCAAAGTTTGGTGACCAAACCTGAGCATCTTCCAGATGCAGGAGCAAGGCAGGACCCCACCTGCCGTGAGGTAAGAAAGGAAGTTGCATGAATCAGGTCACCCTGCAAGAGAAGGTGTGCTCCAGACTTCAGGTGTTCTGTCCTCCAGTTGCCCAACAATTATTACCAGAGGAAGTTACACCACAGGCAGACACAGCTCCTGACTTTGCAACCCAAGAATCCCAACAAGGGACAGGTTCCAGCTCAGCCTGTTGCCACAATTGCAGCTGGGGTGGGTGCCCTGATAAGGGCTCTGGGAACACGAGGGAGACGGGACAAAGATCAGCCCAAGACAACCAGTTATGATTAAATTCACCCCCGTGGGGGACACGTCATCTCCAGTGCTGAAAATAATCCTACCCCAGGATTGAGGACTGCTTGACTTGCACCCTGCTGGCTCCCTGGTGCTCAGGTTTGGTCACCAAACTTTGCTAGTGAGGGAAATCATGGAATGGTTTGGATTGAAAGAGACCTTCAAGATTTTGAGGATAAGGATCAGGGAGATATTTTCACTCAATAAACCTCTTTTTTCCCAGTGCTTAGGGAACAAACTGCACATGCTACAAGCTCCCTTGATTTCCCTTGATTGACATTTGAATGAAAACTTGGTTTCACTCAATGGAAATATCTTTTCAAATGCCATTTTGGCACCTCCATGAGACCAGTGTCCACATTCCATTTGGATGGGATGAAATCTTGTAGATTATTCAAAAAATCCTTTTACTTCTCACGTGGCACATGGAGACAAACTCAGCTCCCTCCCCTGTCACTTTTAGATGGGTGGGAGCTGCATCTTCTGTACCATGGAAAATAAAATGCACTTAGAATTATCTGTTCTAAGTGTGTGAAGATCTTCATGGGAGGGAAAAAGAAAGAAACCCACTCATCAGGAGTTCATGAAATCACAAGAAAGTCACTTTAGGGAATCCATTGATGAAAAGCAGGTGAGAGAAGTACAGATTTGCCCCCCACCTGGAACTATAAATCCATCCTAAGAAGTGGGGGGCACCAGCTCAGATGAAATAGCATCATGCATGGGCTGAAGTGGAACCACAGTGGTTGACACCCCACCAAGCCCCCTGACCTTTGGGAAGGGGGGGTTGCAGCAGAGGCATCAACCTGAGGGTATGACCTTGATACACAGCAAAAGTATTTTGCTAGATCAGCTTAGTCAGAAAGAAAAAGGATTAAAAAGGCACAAAAAGGCTTTCCTCACAGTGCCTACGTGTAGAACAAGTCTGTGGAGGAAATGCAGCAGGGCAGTTGTGAAAGAATGAGCTCATTACCTAGGAGGAATCATTCCCAGAAGGCAGGGCTTTGAAACCATATAAAAGTTCTCAAATCTCCATGCTCCACCATCCACTCAACTTCCTGACTTCTCCCTTGTTGCCTGGTTGGGTAAGTCTGAGCATCCTGCTGCTTTTCTTTTTCTGGAGATGGTTCTGATTTCCCTGCTTGGCTTCACCTTGGCAGGAGCTCTAAAGAGGAGTTTTCTTTGGTGCCTTTGAATATGCAAAAGGTTCCTGCAAAGGGGAGAAACTGTGGGCATTGGGGTAGGACTAGCAGGCTTGGGATGACTCTGCAAGGCAAATTCAGGTGGTGTGTGAGTCTGAGGATACCTAAGTGCTAAATTAGATCCTTTCTGGAGAAGAGATTAGATCCAATTATGTTGGTTTAAGTACAACTGATCCTACCTTCAGGGAAAGAGAAGGTCTAAATGGTCTCCTGAAGCTCCTGCCAAATCTATTTCCTGTGATTCTGCTATTTATAATGAGAATATTTTTATAAAGCATCCATTTCACTGAAGAATGATTTCTTAAAAGATAGATTTGGGAGAATGAGGGGCTGCAGGGAGCAGGAAAGGAGAAGTATTCTTGGTGCACTGGCTCATTCATGCTAACCATGTCAGGAGCAACACATTCATTTGGCTTAAGATCTTATCAGGTTCCAATAAAGACAATAGCAAGAGACAAATGATATTGATCTGGAGGATCTGGGAGGATGGAGAAGAGAGGAATTAATTTGCTTTGAAGATGTGCTGAGAGGAGCAGGCAACACGGGCAAGAGAGAATGAACTTGCAGGCTCTCCCATGATCTGAGTTAGTTCTCATCCCATGTGGAGGGGACTTAAAAATGGTCCTTCCATCCAACACTTCTGGGATTTTAAAATTCTTCTAAAGACAATCTATGGGCACAAATAAAAGAGCTTTACTCAAGGCACAGCACCAGTCCAGCCTGGTGCCTCCAGCAGCCCAGAAAAGAGAGGCAATTTCATGAACAGGTAGGAAAAACCATTTGGGCAGTTGCAAGTTAGTGGCCTTGGGAGAAGAAATCCCTCCTGATGCTTCTGATTCATGTTCAGGTGTTATTAGTGCCCAGGACAATTCAGAGACACAGGGACCCATTAGCACTGCTCATTCTTTCCATGACAATAGGAAAGACACCTCAATCCATGACATCACCAATGAAATTAGAGTGAAACCAGAACAAGGGGAGGAGCTGCCCTGTTATTACTGCAAAGGCTCTCAGTGCTGCAGGGCAGATGCCACCTTCATGGTGAGGTCCCCTCAGGGTCCTCATTCCAAGTCAAACCTGGAAATAGTTTTAAAAGGGGCAAGATGAGTTGAAGTATTTCATTCTTTCAAAGTCAAATCTCCTGTTGGGGGCAGATTCCTGTTGTTCTGCACCAAAGAGTTTTCAGCTCAGAATTGAATTTTAAATATTTGTCTCCAGCATTGGTGATTTTTATTTTTTTTTTAGTATTATTTTGACTTTCTGAAACCGTTATCAAAGCAGCAGAGCAGTTCTTTGCCAGCTCCTGTCCTTCAGTTCCCCGGGACAGAAATGAAAAGGAGTTAACACGTTGGGAAGAGCTGAGGAAAAGCTCTGAAGTGGAAATCAGCTCCAGGTTCAAAGGGGTGGCTGCCTCAGCCAGACCTGCCAGGGCTGTCCCACATTGCAGAGCAGAAAGGAGGAACCAGATAAGACAGAGTCAGAACAGGAGCTGAAAGGCAGGATGAAAAAGAAAGAGTAAATAATCTCTTTTTTTCTGAGCCAACCTGCCTGGGAAACCAAGGGCAAACTAAGAGAACTTCACTCTTGCAACTGATTCATGTTTCTTAGAAGCCTTTCACACTTCTCCCACTGCAGCTCCTTTAGCAGACACAATAACTTTCTGACATTTCTTTCAGATCCTCTTGTTTCCTGCAAAGATGTCTTTGAATCAAATGCAAATCAAGCAGGAAATCACCCTCCCACCTGGCCTGAGCAAAACCAAGCAGAGCCAAGAGCCTGAGCCTGTCCCATGTCCACAGCAACAATCTGAAGCCCAAGTCCCAACACCTTGCCCAGAACCAGTCCCAGTAGAAGAGGTGCCATGCCCAGAAAAAACAATGCCATTGCCACCCCAGGTGGTGGAACCAGGCAAGGGAGAAGCACCAGTGGTTGTAATACCCCAATGTCCACCCCAGGAGCAGCAGCAGCAGCAGCAGCAGCAGCAGCAATGCAAGGTGCCACCAGCTTTGCCTACTGATCCTATTCCATGCCCTGAAGAGAAATCAACGTGCAAAGAGGTTCCTGTGGCAGCCCCTGCTTCCTGCTCTGAACCCACTCAAAGTGTGCAGGAGAAGCAGGAGAGCAAAGAGATCCCTGTGCCAGTTCCTGTTGTTTGCCCAGAACCTCCCTTGTGCTCTCAGGAGCAGCAGCAGTGCAAGGAGATCCCTGTGCCCATCCCTGCTCAATGCCCTGAACCTGCACCATGTACCCAGGAGCAGCAGGAGACCCAGGAGATCCCTGTGCCCACCCCATGCCCTCTAGAGAAGCAGGAGTGCAAGGAGACAGCCGTGCCAACCCCTGTTCCTGAACCCACACCATGTGCCCAGGAGCAGCAGCAGTGCAAGCAGATCCCAGTGCCCATCCCTGCCCAAAGCCCTGAACCTGCCCCATGTCCTCAGGAGAAGCAGCAGTGCAAGGAGACCCCTGTGCCAATCCCTGTCCAACACCCTGAACCTGCACCCTCTCCTCAGGAGCAGCAGGAGACCAAGGAGAATCCTGTGCCCACCCCATACCCTGTAGAGGAGCAGGAGATCAAGGAGAACCCTGCACCAGAGCAGAGCTCCCTTCCAGAGAAGCGTCCTCCCATGGAGCAGCAGCAGGTCAAGCAGCCCAACCAGTGGCCACCCATGCAGAAGTAACTTGAAGCTGACGAGGGAGGCCCTGAAGAGAGAAGATTTCAACCCCCAACATCCTCCTCCTGTGTCTCACAACCAGAGGTCATTTTCCAACCCCCTTCATGTTCCCACCAGAGTTCCTGTCCCCAAGCAGAGCTTCCACCTCCCCAGCTAACGCTTGCCTTCTCCTCCACTAACAGCCACCAGCTAATGAGAATCACAGGATTATTCTGGCTGGAAAAGACCTTCAAGATCATCAAGTCCAACCACTAACCCAGCTCTACCAAGTCCACTGCTAAACCATGTCCTTCAGCACAGTATCTACACCAAGGGCCACCTTGGAACTGCCAGGAGATAAGGAGGCTTCAAGCGGTGACATAAGCACGTGCATCCAGCTTTGCCAGCAGCCTGAATTCCTGCCCCCTCCCAATCATCCCCTTGGCTTTTAAAAGCCCAGAGAGAGACTAAAGAGCACAATGACACCCACAAGTCAGGGCTCATTAAGCAAAATGTTCAAATAGGAACCCAAAATTCCAACCCTGCCTCCGGGTTTTCCTGCCTTCCCCTCCAGCTCCCTGTGCCACCTCCCACCCCGCCTTTAGGGCTTGGGCTTTAGGGGTTTATTTTGTCTACTCGGAATAGGATTTGAGGTTTGTGCTGATCACCAGCAACAAGTGCTGAATATTTTATGCAATTAAGATAAAAGAAATCCATTGGGCTAGAGGAAATAGATTTTGACAACCCTGCTTGGCTGAATTGGCAGCAACCAGGGTGAGCTCCCCTTGGATTTGTCTGGGATGTGTTAAAAGAACAGCTCGAGCTGAGATGATTTATGGTAAATAGATAGGGAATGAAATCCAATCCAGACATATTTTGAAATGGATTAACCCCAGGCGTGGCTTCCCTCTGGTAGGAGAAAGGAGGAAGCCTGCAAAGAGCTGCTTCAATTACACCCTGGAACATGTTTTGCCACCCGGCGTCGTTGCGTAGGTATTTGGTACTTGGCTCTAATTGTTTGAGGCTGATGTTGTACCCAGGATTTATTTCACTGTGAAAAAATCAACAATAAAAATAACTTTGAATACCACCTTGTTGAAGTTTTCAATACATTTGCTTAGAGTGGGGAGATCCTGGAACAGGTTGCCCAGAGAAGCTGTGGCTGCCCCATCCCTGGGGGTGTTGAAGGGCAGGTTGGATGGGGCTTGGAGCAGCCTGGGCTGGTGGGAGGGCTCCCTGCCCATGCAGGGGGGTGGGACCTAGATGATTTTTAATGTTCCTCCAACCCAAACCACCCCATGATTCTATGAAAAAGATTAAAAGGAGCTTCAGCTTTCAAGAGCCAATTTTTAAGGCTCAAAGCTGGGGGAATCAGGACTCAGAAATCTGGGTGCTCACAGGGGACCTGGGGTCTGTTGCTCCTCTCTGGGTGTCTGGGTTAGAGAACCTGCAACACACCATGTCAGTCCATGGGCTGGTCAATGGCACTGAGACACTAATTACTAAAACACAAAGGGCTGGAGCAGCTCAGGAGCCAGGCTGGGAGAGTTGGAGTGTTGAGCCTGGAGAGGAGAAGGCTCCAGGGAGACCTTAGAGCAGCTTTCAGGGGCTGAAGGAGCTCCAGGAAAGCTGGGGAGGGACTTGGGCCAAGGGCAGGGAGGGATGGGAGCAGGGGGAAGGGGGAAGAGTTGGAAGAGGAGAAATTTAGGTTGGACATTAGGAAGAAATCTTTCACTGTGTTTGTGGTGAGACACCTGCCCAGGGAAGCTGTGGCTGCCCCATCCCTGGGGGTGTTGAAGGGCAGGTTGGATGGGGCTTGGAGCAGCCTGGGCTGGTGGGAGGTGTCCCTGCCCATGCAGGGGGGTTGGATCTGGATGTCTTTAAACATCTCTTTCAACCCAAACCATTGCATGATTCTATGGTTACTTACTGAAAACACCTCTCAACAAGACTTCCCATCCCTGAGCAGGGTACAAGCCACCAGCTCACACTGAGCTGTTCCCATGGTCAACCTGCCCACTTGAAACCCACCCCCAGTCAGGCTGGGACTTCCAGCAGATGGGAGACACAGGCACAGCCACCAGGCAGGCTGCAAGCACAAGCAAACAAGTGTTTCCCACACTTCAAAGGAGCCAGGAGAGATGCAATCTCACCTGTCTGGCCCCGTCAGATGGGGGTTAGATAGACCCAACCTCCTCATCTGATCACACCAAGACACAGGTTCTGGTTTGCAGAGCAAGCTTGTCTGTCTGCCAGATACCAGGATCATATCACTTCCCAGTTTCTGTTCTTATCACTTATCCTCCCCCACTCTGCCAGGCATCTGACTAGGAAGCAGTTCACCCAGCCAGGATGTTCTGCTCAGAACCCAAAATCATCCTAAATCCTCATTCTTTTAAACATGGAAACTGTTCTGAGCAAGTAAGATCTTCCTTTCAGTATTAGTAGCTTCCAAAGATTATTTCCCTCTCAACAGTTACAGGGTAGTTGAGACTAAAACCACCATTGCTTCAGCAGACACACAGGAATACACTTCAGAAAACTGATTTTCCCCAGTTTAGGATGAAAAACAAGCTGCAAAACTGCACAGGTGGGAATTATATTGATCCTGACCCAGTCTGGACACCCAGACCCCAGCTCTGCCCCACAGAACCCCAGATTTAAATGGTTTTTCTAGAAATTGTGATTCTTTTGGATCCTATTTGTCCTAAAGATTTTACATATATGGGCTACCTGGTTATTCATTCATAGTTTTCAGTTTCTGGATCTATCTGAAATATAAATATGGACAAATAATAGCTTGGGAAATATGGAAGATTCATGTGCCTTGATCCCCATGTCCCCCCACATGCCTTAAACACAAATGTATATTTAAAAGGGGCAATTCTTTGGCTCATAAAAACAAAAGAGAATGACTGACACTACTGAAGTGAAAAAGAAATATCAGGAAGCAAGTAATGAGGTTGCTTATTTTATTGTAGCATGTCCCAGATTAAAGATCAGAAGAAAACAGCCCCACAACGTGTTTTTTTTTTTTATTAGAGAGGATGAATAAATCCAAGCTAATTAATTTCATCTCTTTGTGAAGTAATTTCTGCCAAGGAGACGTGCTGCTGGTTTCTAGATGTTCTGGCAGAGCTTGAAAATGAGCATTTGCATCTTCCACAGCACTTTGTGGCTGTTGCTGCTACTTCTGTTTGGGGCACTGCTGTTGCTGCTGGGGGATGGTCTTGGTAGGACACTTGGCCTGCCCTTTGGGGGGCTGGCATTGCTCCACACACTTTGGAGGACACTTCTCCTGGCACTGTGGAGGTATTTGCTGCTGCTGTTTCTGCTGGTGGGAAGACATCTTGGCTAAGCCTGGAAGAAAACCAAGGTGCCACTTCAGTTACTTTAAGCCCTACTTGTCTCTTCTTGATATTGGTCAGTTCTTCAAGCTTTGACATCAAAGCACCAGTGAAGGGCTTTTAAAAGTTAATCCTACCAGCAAAACCACACAAAACCCCCTTGGAAATCCCTGAGGTTGCTCCTGCTCAGCCCAAATCTGTGTTGGTGACTCCAGGTGGCTGTAGCTGCCCCATGACACTGCTGAGTTCCCACCACAGTTGCCTCTGTGGGGACCAGCCACCCCCTTAAGGGCCTCAGGGAATCACTATATATGAACATAAATGACTACAAGAGACAAGCATCACCCTGACAAAGTTGTGATCCCAAGAGGGAAATGGCTGCAGAAGGGAAGGGAGGAGACACAATCCTTCATCTTTCCCTCTGCTCACTATTTTCTGAAGGTTTCAGCTTTGAGAAGGTAAGGAGCAAGACAAAGGTTAGTGGAAGCTTGTCTAGTTTAAGGAGAACATCTGAGGAGTGTTTAAAAGCAGCCAAGGAGGAGCAGAAGGCTGGTGACACTCAGCATTGCAAGCAGTTTTGAAAGAGAAAAATCATTTGATAGGTCTTTCTGGCAAGAGCCTCTGCTTGGTTTCTTGAGATCCTCAGAGAAAGAGCCATTTCTCTGGCCAGTAAGTGCAGGTGAATTGTCCTCCTGCCCAGTGGTGATGTGACTTCCCACAAAGAAATGAAACTCAGAGCACTGGAGATCCAGGAGACTGCAGGGATCAGCCTGTGGCTGCTCCATGGGTGCCAAACCAGGTGCTGGTGGATGCCATCCCTTGGTAGCTGATGCTCCCATGGTTATCTACAAGGATTCTTATCACTTGGAGAAAAATGATGAGGGTTGACAAGGGTTTGCTGGGCCAAAGAGTCAGCAAGCCACTAGTTAGAGCCTCAGAAAAATCTCAAAATAAAGTGGCTTTCACCTGCCTGGAGGGGAACTTGCCAGGGAGATGAGCTGGAGCTCTTATTAGAGAAAGAAAATAAAGAAAAATCCCTTCATCCCTCAGGAAAAAGCACCAGGAACCCCCAGGCAGAAAGCTGAACATGCACAGGACTCACCTGGTATCTCCTGCTGGTGGAAGGAGAGAAGAAAAAGCCACCCAAGTTAACAAGCCTGCTGAAGGGAAGGCTTTTATACCCTTTCAGAAGTCAATCCCAGGAGCTGATTACAACAGATTAACTTGATGACCAGAATCTTTCACAACCAGAACCTGCTCCACTGACACCTCCATACACCTGGACTTCAGTCAAGGTCTGTGAGAGATACCTCCTCTCTCAGGTGTGGGGGATTTGTTCCTTTCAATGCAAGGCACACCCAAGCTGCTAATAACTGCCTCATTTGTTAATAATTTATCTTCTCCTGACCTTGAGTGAAGATCCCACAAGGAACCCAGATTTCAGGGATGACTTGGATCCATTCTGGAGTGAGCAGAACATCTCTGCATCAAGTTTAGGTGATTCCTCATCGTTTTGTCTGTGACTACCAGGCCAGATCTCCAGCTGGTACAAATCTGAGTGGTGCTGGGGGGGTCTGGGTGTCCTCCCAGCTCCTGGGAAAGGCAGCAGCTCTCTGTTGGGCAGCCTGGGTTTTTAAAATCTGCTTCTACCCTTCTCTGTTTTCCTTCCCCAAAAAGAGG